GTTGCTCTTCTCTGCACTCTTTCTAGAGTCTTTGAATGAATAAATAAACAAATGTAATGTTTTTTTATTTGTTTGTTCAACCAGCTCCTCAGGATCTTATTTCAGGAGTTGTGTAGAGAAAGATCATGTTTTAAGTCATATTTATGCCAAAATATTACCAATTCAGAAGGTTCAAAAACATTTATGTGCCACTCTGTCAGTAGCTTTCATTTCTGAGCAATATTTATTTTTCTTCTTCACCAGAATGATGCTGGTGGACAACGAGTGCTGGTCAACAAATGGAGCACTTTCAATAAAGCCCGTCTTGTGTGTTCCGTCCCAGGACCAGATGGCATTGACACACACTTTGATGAACTGGGTATGACCTATATTCCATAATCACAGTTGGTTGGTTTGTAGAGGATTAAGAATTTATATTTATCGTATGGGGTTGTTAGAATAACCAGGGACATTTAATTTTATACCAATCGTAAAACTAAGTCAGTGGAGATTTGATCAGTGCTTGATCAAAAATCACTGGGAGTTTAAAGTCAATGATAAATGCTTGTGTTAGGAATTCATAATCTGAGATCCACAGCCTTATGCAACCCTGCCCCCAAATGTGTCTGCAACCTCCAAATAAAAATGATAAATTTTGGTATAAGAGAAAGAGGAAATTATTAAATGCATGGATGAAGAGTAATCATATCGATGATGCTTAATGACATGCAATTCAATTCAATTTTGGCTCTGCCCAACTGCCCAACTTTTGGAATGGATCCTCTTCTCCAGCATAGCACCCACAGACTAGCACAACTCTCACTTCAGGAAAAGTTTGTGTTCCTATGCTAGAGTGTGATGCCATGCAATTTTCTTTTAGATTGGGCAGTGGTAGTTAAGAGGAATTAGTAGCAGTGAAACAAAATGGACAGCACAAATATCTTCTAGGCCAGGTATGAGGAACTGTGGCTCTTTAACGACTTGTGGACTTCGACTCCCATAATTCCTGAACCAGCAAAGATATTAGAAAAAACACTTAGAAAAATGTTTGTGTAGAGTGAGTATATTGACAGAACAGTTACAGAACTCATTCGATCATCCATTATTCAACAGAGGACGTCTTTCTTCTGAGGGCTAAAGATGGCAAGAATCCTGAAGTCTATGGACTGTTTAGCACCATCAGGTATGATGTTTCCATCTGTAGCTTGTAGTTCTGTCTTTGATTACTTTTAACAGTGAATCTTTTAAAAATGTCCTTAATAATAAGTTTATAATTTTTTGTATATCCAACATACGGTAGTTTGCTTTTCTCCCAATTTTTCAGTTAACTTCAGTAGGATCTATACAGTATGAATTCTTTTTTCCAAAAAACTGTAATCTTCTAGACATTTGTTTACCTAAAATCTTTTTTTCTTTCTGAATTGCAGCCTAGAGAGATAACAAGCAAATCTCAGTGACATTTAAATCTTGTGTTACAAGCAATATTTGAGTAACTTTTTCTCATTACAGCAATGTCTTCCAAGGCTTCGCCATCTGTGTCTATCGTATGGCAGACATCTGGGAGGTTTTTAATGGACCATTTGCTCATAAAGATGGTCCTGATCATCAATGGGCAGCTTATGAGGGCAAGGTGCCTTACCCAAGGCCAGGAGTTGTAAGTATAACAATAAAGTTGATGATTTTCCTGAAAAGAAAAGAACAATGTATAGGAAGAGCAATTTGACGTAAAAGAAAGAAATTAAAAAATGACATGCAAAATGATGTTTTGTGTGATTATCTAAAGCTGCCAGAACTATTCATGTCAGTGGAAATGACAAACCCCCACCCCCATTTCCTCAACTTCTGGAATAAATTTTGCAAGCATGGGAAGAATCAAGGAACATAATGAAATGGGGGAAAGAGTTGGCTTTCATTCCTAATAAATAGTATTAACAGAGCTATTTGCTAAAATTATTTCCTTTCTCCTAGTGCCCCAGCAAAACCACCAATCAGCCAAGTCGTCAGTACTCCTCCACCAAAGACTACCCAGATGAGGTATTGCAATTTGCACGTGCTCACCCCCTGATGAGCAAATCTGTGTATCCGCTACAACGGCGGCCTGTGCTGGTGAAAACCAACCTGCAGCATCGCCTACGGCAGTTAGTGGTGGACCGCGTGGAAGCTGAGGACGGGCATTACGATGTCATGTTCATTGGCACAGGTACAGTGTTCATCATGTGATGAATTGGAGTTCAGCAGTACCTGAACATCTCTCTTCCAAGCTGCAGATGCCGTATATGAAGTTACTTGTCATTTGTGAGTTTGAAGATAATCTCCTGACTTTTCAAATCTTCAGACTACATCCTGACCCAAGGGATCTTGGGTAAAATGCTGATAAATGGACAAGCCAAACTTAGCTATGTGTTGTGGCCTGTGCATCATGTTTGGCTGAATTCAGAATAGAAGTGAGCCAGTGGTGGGATTCATTTTTTTTTTACTACCGGCTCTGTGGGCAAGGCTTGGTGGGCATGGCTTGGCTTGGTGGGTGTGGCTTGGAGGCCATGACAGGGGAAGATACTGTGAAATCTCCATTCCTTCCCCACTCCTGGGGAAAGGATATTGCAAAATCTCCATTCCCACCCCACTCTGGGGCCAGCCAGAGGTGGTATTTGCCGGTTCTCCGAACTACTCAAAATTTCCACTACCAGTTTTCCAGAACCTGTCAGAACCTGCTGAATTTCACCCCTGATTTATACACCTCTCCTCTCACCAGTAAAGTGGTTCATAATAAAATTTGGCCAGGAGTTTTACCTAAAAAACTACAAGATGAATGTGCTAAGGAAACAGAATGGCAAACTGTCATTTTACAGGACCTGGGGGGACTATATTTTATAAACAATAATAAGTCATTTTCTGTCAACCCAGGACATATGAGGAAATCATAATGTGATCTGTAATGTGACAATGTGGATGCTAAATTAGTAAACTGCCATTCCAAATATTGATTGTTTAAACTAAAAGTTAAAAAATAGGAACAAAAAAGAATAGGTGCTTTATGGGAATATGGTGTTGATGAAAACAGTTTACAATCACCACCGTGCTTGAAGTCCAACAAAACATCTCCCAGATTTTAGATTACAGTAGATTATGGTGATTTGTTGTTGAAAGTTAGGGGTAAAACAAATACAATAAAGATATTAAGTTCCAACGAAACCAGGGAAAGTTCAGATACTTCTTCCAAAAGAAGCTCTGACTTCACAGCAAACATTTATACCCAAACAGGGAACCATCATAATATAATTTACCTTCCTCCAATCTTAGCATTATCCAGCTCTGTTAAATTCAGAAGCCATAATCTCAGATAGACTGGGAATCCTGTTTGTAAATCATAGGTTGTGTAGTCCATTTCAATGGGCATTACATTGGGGAAAACATGTCTCTGCTTTATAAACAGCGGACAACTTCCCAATTATTCTCCAATAGTCATTGATATGCAAATTAGAAATGTGAAATCATTATTTAAATCATGAATTTCTATTTTAAATCTGATCTGTGAAAAATGTTAACTGTAGTTTGATACCGCAAATTATCTCAAGGTGTATGTAATGTGGCTTCTTTCTGTATGTCTTGACTTCTAAGACCTCTGATGTTACCGAGTAGGTTTTCTTTGACATGAACGTATATACGATCAGTTTCAATTCTGAATGGCCATAAATAATGTCATAACATATCCAGGAAGCTGTGGGAATTCCAAAGCCATTTAATTTTATTGCTCTTCCAAATGCTGTAACTCAAGAAGGTTGATGACACAGCTGCGAATATTTTCACTCAGAGGACCAAATTCAGTAGAAAAAGGAAGACGGCAATTTAGATCAGGAAAATATAGGGGGGGGGGGGGGGGAGAGACTGAACAGTCCTTCCCAGTGCCATTGTTCCCATTAAATTTGACACTTCTCCACTTGTTTCTATACCAAGATGGCAGGTCTGGCATTTGCCATCTTACCTGTAAAAGATCAGCATGAATCTGGCAGTGGTTTGCTCTCCAAGCTTGTTTCAATTTAGTTTCTGAACATTTCATTACCCTACTAGGTAACATCAGCATCAGGATTTTCTTCTCCTATTCTCCTTTAGCGTATAAATGTCTTGTGTGCCAGTTTGGTCAGTTGGTCGTGTGATTGGTTGTTCATTTGAAGCTATATTTAAACTCTGAGCAGCTGATTGGTTCTCTTGCTGATCGGTCCTGGGTTCAATATATATCAATCTTCCTTCCCACTGATCAGTAGGGTAGCTTAGAAAAAATAGTTCAGTCGGGATTTGCTCCCTAACTTTGTTTGGGTCCCAAAGGAGCAAAAAAAAATTAGTTCCCTGTTTCATAACAAAAGTGACGTGCACTGTTTCTAGTGTCTATGTTACTATTATGGGAACTTGATAAAGCAAGGGGTGGAACTGAAAAATAAAAAGTTAAAATAGATTATTTAGATACCTAGACATCATTTGTTTTTTGTATTTAAAAACATATCTAGAACAAAAGCATATCCGTTTAGTTTTTGGCAGGGCATTCCTTCCAGGACCTGTAAGAGTTTTGGGATGGAAGGGGTGGGGGCGAGAAGGGGAAATAAATACATAGTTGATGATGTAGGAATTGACCCTCAGTGGTATGGGGGGAGGAAAGAGTGAAGGCTTACGAGCCCAGGAAATGAGCCAAGGAGGTTGCCCCACTCCCTCACAATCCCCACTCAGCAGCAGCATTCCAGCAAACACTACACATGTATCCCCATTTTACTGAACCAAAACACCACTAGGAGTAAGGCAGCCTACTCTCCAGGCAAGCCGGTCTCCTGAAATTAGGCAGGTTTGGAGTTGGCTTCAGGTGGGATCAGAATCCTCGTATGGAGGTGCTTTTAGCAAGCTAAACTCCAGTTTTCTTTTCTGAAGACTGCGGAGGAAATTCTTATAGAGACAAAAGATGTCTCACTAGAAGAGAATATCGGTAACTCAGAGCTGAACTGTGGAGTCCTGGGTGGTCTCTGAGCATGGTTATTTACTTGCAGACATTTCATTACCCAAACAGGTATATCAGTGTGAGTGGAGTGAGTGCTCCATGTTCAAAAACAATGCCCACCAATTTCACTGTGTGCTTTATTCCATTCACCAGCACAAAAATACCAGCTCCAAGGTGATTTGGCACTCCTCTGATTAACCCTGCTTTGGCTTCCTTTGACAGCAAATGCTTTATGTGGGCTCACGGATCGGTGTTGCCCAAGTGAAACTGCATCAGTGTGAGACTTACGGGACTGCCTGTGCAGAATGTTGCCTGGCACGGGATCCGTATTGTGCCTGGGATGGTCTCACTTGCACCAGATACCAGGAATTGGGCAAACGTCGCTTTCGCAGGCAAGACATCCAGAATGGGAACCCTATGCACCAGTGCCTGGATCAAAACCTAACAGGTGAAGGAACTTGGGAATATGTGTTTAGAGCAGTGGGGCAAAATGGGATGGCTTTTGTGGAGCTGTACCTGCCATATCCTTGGATTTCAAGTACACTAGAGAGTGTGAACATGGCAGCATTAAGATCAGTTACAAATAGGTAAGGCGTCTGCTGTATTACCATTAATAATGACCTTTCTGTACATGGAAACAGACATTTCCACAGGGACATGGGTCAAAGTTTTGCTTTGGACAGCACTTATTTTATGAAAACATAAACAGAGCACCACCATCTTCACTGGAATATTGGGAAAGAGAGGAGATCTTGGAGTCTTCGGCATCTTGAATTAATCCTGCAAACATCTGGCAATTCTGATTCAGTACTCAGTGTTTTGGATTGGAAATTAATATCTCTCTACCAAATAGCAAAGTATCAGGTTGGGCCAAGCTTCAAGCCCTTTCCTACCTCTCACCTGTTCAGAAGCAATCCTGGATCATCGTGACCCCTTTTATGGAAATGGGTGATTTGCAAATGATTGGTCTTTAGAGTAGTGTAGTGTAGTGTAGTGTAGGGTAGGGTAGAATAGAATAGAATAGAGTAGAATAGAATAGAGTAGAATAGAATAGAGTAGAATAAAGAATAGAATAGACAGAGTTTGAAGGGACCTTGGAGATCTTCTAGTTCAACCCGCTGCGCAGGCAGGAAACCCTGTGCCATTTCAGACAAATGGTTGTCCAATCTCTTCTTTAAAACTTCAATTTTTGTATTTTTGTAGTGGATGACTTTGACAGCATTGCGGAGAAGGTGGTGTATGGGACGGAGCACAACAGTACCTTCTTAGAGTGTATCCCAAAATCACCCCAAGCTGCAGTGCAATGGTTTGTACGCAGATCTCCAGAGGAGCTAAGAGATGAGGTGAGGCACTCTTGCTTTTGTTTTCTTAATGGCAATTTTCTTTATATCTTCTCCCTCTAAGTATACACAAACATATGCTCTTTCTCTTGTAAATATATGTCATCTTAGCACATTATTGTTCCTGCTGCTTCTGTCACATAAATACTACATTTTTTTTGTCTTGACTGTTTCCTTACAACAGATATTGGTTATATTGTGGGGGTTTGGGAGATCTTTAATTACTAAATTTCAGTCTGCAATACAGCTGTAAAAGCTGAGGATCTCTGCCAAGTGTGCCCCTCCCCATTCTGTGGAAAAGTTCCCTGTCTGTGAATAAAACTGCCTTCTCTTCAGGCTATAAGCACATGTGGAGTTCTTAGTTAGCAAAGATGGAACCAATAAGAAAGGTCTCCTCAACCTCTTCCAGTCATGGCAGAGCTACTCTTGCATCTGGTGGATGTGATCTACCCTCCCTCTCATTCCTCAATCTGATTTTTTTTAAAAAATCTGGTCCAGGGGAAAAAGTGGTTTGTATCCGGACTTGAATAAAAGAAAATAGATTATCATGTAACGGAGCCTGCTAAATATGAAGCATTTTCCTCTCTTAATTTGTACCTCCTTTTCAAGGAGGCAATACAATAGCTTGGAATGTCTTCTGTCAATAAACTACTCCTGGCCATCATTGCCAAGACAGTGGTCCAAAGAGAAAGAAGTACAGTTCTTATGGATCCTACTGAATGTAAGATGGATAGAGCTTAAATAACATGAAACAGCTGTTGTGGGCCTTCAAGTGTTATTTTTATAGCTGTTCCCCACACTCCAGCTCTGATAATATGGGTATGTGAGTTGTTTAAGGCTTTACTAACTGACCCTGAACCCCTTAAGGAGGCATTCAGTGAGTTTGCTAAAACAGCTGAATTGATTACTGATGCAACCGCAGTCTATGGCAACCAGAGTGTTAATTTGCAGATGGCTGGGGATCAGACATTGGTAAATTGACCATCAGTCAAGAACTACAGTCAAGAACTACTTTGGCATGCAAGCCCTCTGTGGGGAAGAAATTGTTTGGGAAGATTATTGTTGTGATGTTGCTAGAGAGTATACTAAGAAGAGGTACTTTCCATCTGCAGTTAAGAAGGAAATTGATTGATTGCCTTTAAGGCTAGAAAGTAATATTCCCGTTTTTCTTCCTACTGGAAGAAACCAAAAAAATAGACACTGGGGACCTCAGGAATATTAACACAAACGTTTCAGCAACAGCAGTTGAAGTAAATAAGAGAGGATGAGGAATGAAGAACTCTTAATTCAGAGTTCATTGTAGGAGTGTGTATATGGGAATATTCTCAAAAGGTTTGGACATTGGGAATGGACCTTCAGGGACAAGTCCTGGTCAAGGATCAACTGAGGAAGGGTAGGGGTGGGTTTGTTTTTCTGTCTATCTTGATATCTTTTTGTGAGGTGATCAGAATGACACCTCACAAGAAGTATCATTCTCTGCTGACATGCTTTGATGTTCAGATCCACTGAATTCTGGTTCTATTAAACTCCTAATAAAGATACTTTGTTATCCATTGCTTGAATATTCAAAAATAAATTAATTTTGATGCAAATTCATAGGTGACCAAGGAAAGATATGTCCTTTAGATTTTATTCTTTGAATTTTATGATGCATTTCTCAGCTAAGAAATATTTGGTGATAGATTTGGTGATAAAGGGTATACATTTCAGGGCAGTGAAATATCAGAAAATACTTTGATTGAAAATAATTTCAAAATAATTGTTTAAAATGTGTGCATATTTTTTTCCACTGGGAATTCTTTTAAAAAAATACACAAAAAGTGCAAGTGAAAGATGAACTCATTAAATATTTAATAAAAAAGACTGAACTATTCAGCAAGTTCTTATAATATTGAATCACAGCAAATGACATATTAATCCCTCACTATTAAATCCAAAACTCTATTTTTACTTGTGCTCAAAGCATGGAAGATAAACTTACATTCTTTCTGTACAAATGGTGGACCATCCTTATAGGAAAAAAAATAATTTAGGAGGCATAGACTCTCCAATTAATTAATTTTGAAGTAGGTCTCTGGAATAATGGCACAGCCTCGCTTCTCCCTGCTATGGTTTCTTAAATCTTTAGGCCTGATTTCAGTGGTTTGGAATACATATATATTAGGGAGTGGCTCTCAGTAAAAATCTGTAACTTTCATTGTTGCCAGAAAAGTGTGATGATTTGGGGGATATTTTCCCACAAATTATTTTGCCATAATCACAATGTTTTTTAAAGAGGCAGACTTGCATATCAAATCACAACATAGAAGCTTGAGTAAAAATTACAAAATTATTAATAAAGTTGCCTTTACAATATGTGCCAGTACTGTGGAAACCAGAGAAATATGCAAGCAAAGTGAAGGACAGTCCATGAATATTTAAAATAAAAAGGCCAATAATTATTCTACATAATGCAAATAACATACTTTACTACTTCATGCTGAATTCTACTCTATATTAAAAACTTATTTGTAATGGCAAATAGCCTTCAAGGAGAGGGTTTTCTTCCTGAAGTTATCTGCATGTAGATCAGGGGTGCCAATCTCATGTCGTCACAGTGGCATTACGTGACATATTGTGACTAAACCAGATGTGGGCAGCATGTGACACATCTGGCCCATGGGCCGTAAATTTGACAGCCCTGATGTAGATTATTTAGTAAATTATCCCACTGTTATCACTTTATAAGTTACTTAAGACGTCAAAGATACCCAGTGCTTCATTTTTCTCCTCTTTTTCCTTCAACAACAACACAATCAGATGGGTTGACTGAGAATGACTGGCCCAGCTGTCTTTCATGCCTAAAATGGGACTAGAATTCATGGTCTCCTGGTTTGTAGGCCTCAACCACTACACCAAACTTTTGGTTCTTGGAATTGCTATTTCAGGGAGTGTGGTGAGAAATTCGTAACTAAACTGAAAATAGGGAACTCCCCCCCCCCTACTGTGTGAGGTCTTTCTCCTCTTTTCCCAGGCAAGTGTAATTCCCAGGAAGGGAAGTGATAATACACAATGATTGGAGAGCAATTGGGATATAGAAGATGGGAACTGATAAGTAAACACAGCTGCTGAGTTCCAGTCCAAAACCATCATTTGCTAATAAGGACAGCCCTGGTATCTCCTGAGGGTGCAGTGGTGTCAGACCTCCTCCCATGTCTCCCTTCAACTTTCTGAAGGACCACACAGATGAATGGAATGTGCTGCTCCTGCTGCGCTTCTTGTTCTTTGTATAAAACAATAAATACAAGTCAATCGTTAAAAAGAAGGGAAGAAATTAACAAGTTGTACATCTATCTGCTGCTTTTGTTTTGTTTCAGTATGAGGTGTTTTCCTTTATGGGGCTTGTGTCAGGAAACTCAGCTGGAATAGATTCTTGCAGGTAGAAGGTGTTTGCAGGAGAAGGCCATTTCAAGATGGAGCCTTGAACAAAAGTGTTTTGTAGCTGAGCATTGTTAGCATTTTAGGTAGGCTTTTGGGGTGGCTTTGGGGATTGCTTTCTCCCTAGAAAAATTCCTTCTAGGCCAGGGGGTCAAACTCATGTCGTCACAGCGGCATCACATGATGTATCGGGACTTTCCCCCTCCCTTTGCTAAACCGGGTGTGGGCGTGGCCAGCATGTGATGCATCCGGCCCATGGGCCAGGAGTTTGACAGCCCTGTTCTAGGCACTACTGCTATTATTACCCAGCATACAACTAGGAGTAAGTCACTTGAGGAATTCACAACCTAATGGCAGAGAAAGGATTGGATTGGAATTAGAACATTTTTATAGATGAGGACATTTCCAAACTAGAGAAACATTTTCATTTATTGAAAATTGCCAGCCACCAAAGGAGTCTGGCAATTTGAGGGAAAGACAAGACTTCTGGGTCAGGATAAGCAGCACGGTTTGGGGGAAATGTAAAGCCTGACTGGATGTTTCAGAAGCTCTAATACAAAAGTAGTTGAAATAGTGGAAATGAAGTGGAAGCTTTTTTTTTTTTAACAGCTTTGATCTTAAGGGCAATCTTTTATATATCTATCAGATTGCCTGGATGTTCCAGGCTCTGGGTCCATTCTTTACCAGTATCTTCAGTATTTAGCAAGTGTAATTCTACTTTTTAAAAATCAATTATAAAAATCCCTTCTCAGAGTCACATCAGTTACGTGAAATAAGCATTTACTTTTTTTTAAAATTCTGCCTTGCCTACTTATGGGGTGAAGCAAGATGCATTTCAAACTGCTGGAATTTCTACAACATACCCGTACTGTTATCATTTTGTCATACACTGCTGCATCAGTTCAAGCATACTGTAATATATGTGAGTAAAGATGTGAATCATAGCATATTCACAAATCTGTTTGGGTTTTTTGTCCCTAAGAAAGACTGAGTCTACTTTTGTGGGAAAGTCTACCCACTTCTTGACATCCTGCAGTATCTTGATTAAATCAAACTGAATTTCTAGAAAACTGCCTAATATATTTCCTTCCCCCCCCCCCTGGCTCTTCCAGGTGAAAACAGATGAACGGATCATGAAGACAGAATACGGATTGTTATTTCGGAAAGTCTTTCGTCAGGATACTGGAACTTATTACTGCAGGTCTCAGGAGCAGGGCTTTACGCAGACTGTCACCAAAATCATTTTGGAAGTGGTTGAGAACGAGCAGCTGGAACAAATTTTCCAGAAGGAGCAGGAGGAGGAGCTGCCTCGGTCTCCATGCCGAGTCCGCCTGCTGCATGGACAACGATTGTGGTTCAAAGACATCATGCATCTGATTGGCTATGCCAATCTGCAGAAAATGGAGGAATACTGTGAGCGTGTGTGGTGCGGAGATCGGCCACTGTGGCATAAAAGCAAACTCCCAAAGAGCAAGAACCTGCTGGAGGGTGGCAAAAAAGGACGAGGCAAGCAGCCCGGTGAGAGAAACCGGGTGCCCAGGCAAGCGGTGGCCACTGAAGGGGACATGGAGGCAACTCTTGGCAAAAGCATCCCCTGAATTAAAATCCACCCTTCTAAAACTGTCCTTGCCCTGATAGAGGCCCCCTTTGGCCTTGCTGATCAACTGAGCCTATTGACATCCCTTCTTTCTGTCAAAATGCTGGAGATTTAACAAATACCAAAGTATTTTTTTTCTGTCCTGTATTGACAACCCTGGTGTGAGTTGTATCACACCTCGCACGGCATCAAGTCTAAGAATGGGTGGAGGTGGCCTCACTCATGATTGTGTGTGTGTTAAATGCCACCATCCCTGAAGCCTCATGTTCCGTACGGCTGAGATACATGACTCAGAAAAGGAGCTGTAAGGATCTAACCATGTGGTTGGGAGACCGTTACCAGTAACCAAGGAACAGCGGCACCCATTCCTCTTACAAGACTGAGATGAAACAGTGGGGAGCTGGGAAGAATGGAGATATGTATATAACCCTTGCTCTTCTGGAGGTGACAAGGATCAGCTGGAGATAACAGGCAACACAGTCACCCCTTGGAAGGAACAGATGCTGCTTCCAGTGACCTATTCTCCCTATGCTACATGCTGAGTATGGGTGTGACCGTTGAACTGTGCGTATCATGGTACCTGGAGGTGCAAAGCAGATTGTTGCAGCACTTCCAGCCTCATGTTTTTCCTCGTTCTGTCCAACAGGTCAAAAGCAATTCTTTGGGCATGATTGCATATGAGTTTTAAAAAGGCCAGTTACGTTTACGATATGATTTGACCCTAATGTTCATTTATGCCACATGTGTCCTTCTCGTGCATTCTCTTGCAAATAACCAGCGGTTGTGGAGGCGAAACTAAACCTGACAAAGAAACAAGCAAACAAATAAACAGAAACCTGAAGGGTAACATGGACCAGACCAAAAGAATAAAATAAAACCTTATGCAGCTCCCGTTATACCGCTAGGTTTTTCTCAGACTGAGCAGAGATTTCAGTGGGGAAATGAATGGCAGAAAAGTAGCTAAGCTTTTGTTTTCCTCAGCCTCTCTCCCCTTCCACTATAATTGTTCTTACACACACACACACAATCCCTCTGTCGAACAGCAGAGGAACCTCTAGGCTAAACTTGGCCACACAACGTACTGTACTTTTGTTTGCCTATTCCTGGGCTTCCTATATTTTGCTTGCCAATATCTTACCCTGTCTCTGCACTACCTCTGATTATTTCATTGCTGGCTACTTTCTCTTGGGCAGTACAACTATCCACCACCGGAGGCCCACGTGAGCATTTGGCCTAAATAAGCCTTGCCTTTCATGGACTTGTATCAATTCCTTTGTTTTAAAGATTGACAGCTAAGTGAAAATTTGTTCAACAAATAAATTAAATCTTACATAGCAAGCTCTGACTTGGGGGATAATTTTACACCTGCTTCTTGACTTTCATCAACATAATGAATAGTCAGGACAAGTTGGCCCTGGGATTGAAATGTCTCATTGAAGTGGCTACCAGGTAGCGCACTGATTTCTTACTAGTCCAGAGCAAGTGTTCTCAACTTTTTTTCTGTTGTTGATGGCCCCTCGTGAGTATAATTTACCTCTGCAACCCCTTTCAAAGATACTGTTAGCTGTCTATTTTTACTATCTGCATTGTTTATTAATCTGAACTGTATTGTGTAATGTAATTGTCTTTATAACATTAAGACAAAGTCATTGGTAGTAGCTACCAAAAAGGTTAATTCTATGCAGACGTAATTGCAAACAATTTTTCAAAAAATATACAAAAATATGCAATGCGTAGCAGCAGCAAGAGAATGAGGCCCCCTAGATCTATGGGATGGTCCCCCGATGGACCAGGTTGAGAACAACTGATCTAGAGTGCAGAAAACAATGCTCAAGTTGCTGTAACTTAGTGAATTGGCTAGAAGGTATAAACTAGGTGACCAGTTTCTAGACAAACTGGCCAATGTCGGAGACCTGTTCCAGAGCAAATGGACAGATACTGACGCAGATCATTGTTCTTTTGGGACTCCTTCCAGATGATGATTTATTGCAGATGTGCAAAAAAACTTACTTGCACTCTGAGATGTGCAAGCACTCTCATCCTTCAAGAAATATGATTCATGTGGGATTTATATGCACATCAAAGAAAGAAGGAAAAACTGCAGGGGCACTGCACCCACCTTTCTATAAACGGAGTGAATATTTGAGTAATATTTGCCATGTTTGCAAGTATGCAAAGGTAGTGTAATAGGAAGAAAAGAGGAATTCCTATAAAGCAGATCAGCAGATGCAGTTGGGGTAACTTCTCAAACTTCCACTCCAAATTCATCTTAAAACTGCTATCATCATCATCATCACCATCACCATTACCTTCATCCTGAGTTATTTTTTGTCCAGGGGCTATTGGGTACATATGGAGACAATGAGCTCATCCTCAAATTTTTCTAACTAGAAGATGAAGATACTAGCAGTTGCCAAGTGCTATTAGAAAATGTGTTCCCAATGATGGCGTGTTCATTTCATCCCCAGACTGCTATGAGGGGAGCCTACATGTATCTTTATTCCAATTTAAGTGTAGAGATTTCCGTTTTCTGACTCCTCTTGCTATGGACATGTTCTAGGTCACTTCACTAACAATGCTGATTATATGGTCAAGCTGGGATGGGCCACTTTGTGCTGGCGAAGAGACACCCCTCTTAGTCACTTGGCACTGCCTTTCATGGCAGGCTTGACTTGGCTTGGCCACTTGGCTTCCATAGGGACAGCTTCTTCAATGAGCAAGAGAGGGGGTGAAAGCAAGGATGCCTGGAAGAACTTTAATCAGACAAGGAGAGGCTGGTTCAGATGGAACATGTGGAATGGATTTCTATTCTCTCCTAGTCTGCAAGATCTTTGTACCTCTCTCAGGTTGCCAGTGCTGAGTGCTGCTTTTCATATTAAACTTCTTGAAAGTTTTTTTCTTGCAAAGAGATGTTACGGGGTGAGGGGGAGAAGCAGTATCAGAAGGACTTTCAAATATACTATCCAGCTCTGATAACAACATGAGAGCCTCAATCTTCTGAAGAAGGTTTTTAGCTGGCTCCCTCAAACATGTGTTATTGATATGCCTGCCATATTAGCAGTGGTGGGTTTCAAAAATTGTTCGAACCTACTCTATGGGTGTGGCCTCCTTTGTGGGAGTGGCTTGCCACCCATGTGACCGGATGGGAGTGGCTTGCCCCCGATGTGATCGGATATGAAGATGCCGATGACACTTGTCAGAACCACCTTAAATTACCTCACACACAGCACTGGCATGCATAAGAATATGATGTAAACTTGTTTTTTAAAAGGAATCTTTGATTTGCGTTAAAACAACTTCAACACACGCAAGGTCTGATTGCACCACAAACGCAGTAGTCATCCTTACCTTTCACAGAGGCACTGAGTTTTATAAATATGAGCATGATAGTGTAGAATAATCATATCCAAGGACCAGTGGTGGGTTTCAAAAAGTTTTGGAACCTCTTCTGTAGGTGTGGCCTGCTTTCCGGGTCCACTGGTGGAACCTCTTCTAACCGGTTCGGTAGATTTGACGAACTGGTTCTACCGAATAGGTGCGAACTGGTAGGAACCCACCTCTGCATATTAGTTACTTTTTACCAACTGACCAGGGATTCTTCGTCTTTTTTATTGCTGTTCAGGCAGTAGCTGCAGCAGAGAAGACAAGCTACAGCAGCAGTGCTGGGAAGGTGGCAGGAAAAATGGGGGGGGGGGTGTTCATTGCTAGAACCTATCAACAGCCCTGCCAGCATCTGCCCTTCTTATACAGGTGGTCCTCAACTTACAACCGTTCATTCAGTGATGGTTCAAAGTTACAACAGCACTGAAAAAATTGACTTCTGACCATTTTCAACATCCCCATGATCATGGGATCAAAATTCAGATGTTTGGCAACTGGTTTATGACAGCTACAGTGTCCCATGGCCATATGGTCTCATTTTGCGACGTGATAAGCAAAATCAATGGGGGGAGCCAGACTTGCTTAACAACCGGGGTGCTAACTTATCAACTGCAGTGATTCACTTAACAACTGAGGCAACAGGTCATAAAATGGGGCAATACTCAACAAATGTCTCACTTAACAACAAAAATGTTGAATTCAATTGTGGTCATAAGTTGAGAACTATCTGTATAGAAAAAGAGCAAAGAAGAGAATGGGAGAACAAGAGAGACCTGGATTTGTAACATTTGTCAAATGGGAAATGCTGATGCAGGATAGCTGTCCAGCTTCATAACAACTCTTTCAGGAAATCGTTTTGTCTGGACATCTGCCCATTAATAGCTTTAAATCCCATGGGTTCCTTTGATTTGAGTGGCCCCTGGCACTGTAATTTCCAAGAATAGATAATAAAAATAAAACCAGAGACTGTGTAGAGTTTCCAGTTTGTTTCCTCAAAGTTGCGGTGGGATAGATCCTAAAACAGAAGGTTCCAACATGGGGGGGACTGACCCAGCCCATGAGATAGGTCATCTCACTGAGGGAAGAGGGGTTTTAGAAGTTGGCACTTCAAAGCACTGGCTTGAAAGAAACGAAAGTGACTGCCAAGTAGAAACATATTATTTCTTGACAATCACAATATTGTTTAGCAGAGAGATTTGATTCCCTTTGTGAACTGACGGGCAGATTCTGACAGATGGGTCAAGCCATCTATCAAAACTCACTTCCTTCCCAAGCTTCAGCTGTATCCCATGTTAGGGAGAGTGATTTTTCCCATCAACAGGAATTCCACTCATTGCTTTCCCTAGTCTGTCCCACATTAAAGCGATAAAAGTGCTGCTTGCAATCCTTGACTGTTAGGGCAGTCTTCATGCTTTTGTACTGACTCAAGGACTTGAGAAAAAAGCAGAAGGATCAATCCTATGCCAGGAACGATTCCATGAAATGGTTGGCATGGTGATTACGGCTGTTCCAATTTGTCCTCTACTCCCACCCACCATCTCCACAAGCCCTTCCTATCTACTCCAGTGGTCTCCAACCTTGGCAAGACCTGTGGACTTCAACTCCCAGAGTTCCTCAGCCAGCTGGCTGAGGAACTCTGGGAGTTGAAGTCCACAGGTCTT